TGAACAGACAGATTTGGCTTGATGGATTTTATTGATTTCCTTGCACAATGAGCTGCAGAGCGTGCAGAAAAGAGGGAGAGACGTCTGAGGCAAACAATAAGAAATAAAAGCAGCAGCCAGACAAGGCAGCGCTCATTGTCAACCCATTAATTACACGTGTCCATCTCCTCTAAATATGCATCTAAAAGCACCGTCATTTTAACTAAAAATCAATAGATGATTGAGACAGGGAGTGAGCACCAACTGTGCTCTTCTTCTTGAATGTGCAGCAAATTCGGCGATTATCTCTGAGGAACTGTAAATGATGAAACATCACTCACAGGCAACAATGAAAATCTTCAGTGACTCTGAGAGTAACTGAAACTTGACAGCAGGCGAGTGCAGCAGAGTGAAGGTCACCCTCTGCTCCTTCCCTCAGCTGTTTGTAGGTCAGTCGGCCATGCTGTCTGCTGCCTCACTACTGCCGCAGACCCCCGCTGTCTCCCCGCTTTAAGCCAGCCTGCAGTGAGTGCAGCGATCACAGGTCGGCTGCAGTATGACTGCTGCAGAGCCTCAGTACTCCGACACAGTTGGGTGATGATCTACATCGCCATTACAGCATGACATTAAAGGGAATTAAAAATTTACGTTTGATTTATTGCAGGCTCGGGTGCAGCTTGCATGATTTGAGCGCCCTCTTGTGGCACTCTGCATTTATTTTTTTCTCTTTAGATTTGTTTTTGATGCACAGATATAACTGCATCATTTTACTCATGCCACTCATTTTATGTAGTATTTTTAATGGGCTCTCACTCATGGGCGACTGCTGGGGAATGCTCCAACCCTCTCCATGAGATCGTTTTAGGCCTAAAATGAGCAAAAACTGTATCTGAGAGGTTAAAGAGTAAGGAAGGGAGAGTACAAAATGTGAGGAAGTGTTCAGCAGATTTTAGTGTTGGTAGCAGGACAGTGCAGCTACTCTGAAGGCCAAAGGAAAAAGACTCAATCCAGTAAAATGTCAGTTTTCCTCCTCCTCCTTCCTCCTTAAAGGTCAACTGTCTGAATGCAGCACAGATGTTAATCATTTTAAAATTTAATGCTGACTACAAGTCGCACTGTGATACGGAGCTACTTAACTTTGACATCCAGTTTGGTCTACAATATGCAGACCAGGGGTGGGTGACTCCAGACCTCAAGGGCCAGTGTCCTGCAGGTTTTAGATATCACCCTGGGTCAACACCCTGAATCAAATGTTTAGTTCATTACCAGGCCTCTGGAGAACTTCAAGACATGTTGAGGAGGTCATTTAGCCATTTAAATCAATTGTGTTGGATAAAGGACACATCTAAAACCTAGAGGACACTGGCCCTCCACACCTGTAGACTGTTGCATGATATTTCCTTGCATGTCCCCCTCAGTGCTGTTATAACACAGTTATTGTCTGCATATTGACCTCCAATGATATTGGAGGTGACTGAACGCTATTCATGAAATGACATTTTCCTGTAGTTGCAGAAAGAAGTGTGTTGCTATTAGTGCGTTCTTGATTGAAGAGTTTACAGATGTCTGAGTTTGCCAAAAGGATTTGAAACAGCTCACACTGTGTAAACATTGCCCCCTGCTGGCAGCTGTGCTCTGAACTCAAACAGTTCATTGTCTCTTATTACTAGGGATGGGTATCGTTTAGGTTTTATCCGATACCGGTGCCAAACCGGTACTTTTGGAACGGTGCCGGTGCTTAAAGAATG